TCATTCACTTTGTATGGATTTGACGTGCTGGTTAGCAACACGCCACAAAAACATTTGAGTTTGCGATTCTACTTTTGGTGAATCCAATTAGTGACAATGCACCCTGAAATATTCCACATCCACACGGCTCCGTACTAACATTCCAGGCTGTCAGCATTCTGCGGCGGAGCGTCTCATCGCTCAGACAGGACATTCGGCTGGATGGTGAACGGGTGCTCACGCTCAATGGGTGGATGTCTCTCTAAACTGCGGGCACATACACACACAGGGTTCCTGTCATGCTGGGAAGGTTTCAGGCTGCTGCCTCTGAGAGGTCAGCGCTGGAATTCCTAAGGCCAAAGGAGATTAGTAATTGAGTAATGGACATGGTGACATGGACAATGTAGAAAGAAGAGGATAAGTGGAGGGAAGGAAGGAGGGTGAAAGACGAAGAATATGAAATACAATATGAGTTCGCTATCTACTTTCCCTCCCCATGGCTGACCTTGGATTCAGTGTCCCAAAACAAACTTATCTGAGTATTAAAAAGAAGGAACGGGGAGCATGCCAGGGATGAGTGAATGTGTTTTGTTGAGACTGCGATTCGACTACAAAGAGTTCAAGGTGCAGCGTTTAGAAGGTGAGAATGACTGTACACAAGGCTCCACCACTTCATTTGTGCTGCTTATTCATATATGCATAAAAGTTGCTGCGTGTCAGCGGGGTGCCGGACTCATCTTTTATTCACCGATTCCATTAAGAGATTGCTGTTACACAAGCTGGGGTGATATATGAACTTAGCATTCTTTAGCAGTTTCCAGCGATAAAACAAAAATAGTGAAATAAGGGGAGTTTTCAAAGGCTTCCTGAAAGAAAGTGGGTGAGGCATTCATCATGTAAGGTGACACCGCAGCAAAAAGCTGTGTCAGCCCACTCGAATGGCTGCAGCTTTGTATTCCTGCACGTTGGCAGATGCAAACAGAAAAAAAAAGAAAGTAAAGGGGTAAGTGAATGACGCTTCATCTGAGAATCTGCTGTGAGGAATTAAAAACGTTGGCTGGAGTATTAAGAAAGAGCTTCCCATCTGTGGCTGCATCATAGGTTATGATAATGATCCACTGTAGCTGGAGGCACTGGAGTGGTGCATCAAGGCGACGGTTTGCCAGTTCAAGTGGCTAGTGAGTGACAAAGTGGGAGAAACTGAGCTAAAGGGCACCAAGTATCTCCAGCATGTTGACAAACATTCACCGCTGGAACATGTTATCACTGTGCAAAGACACAAAACAGTTCGGTGAAGAAAAAACTGGAAAATCTGAATATTTGAATGGATTTTATTGCCTTTAAAGTCCTGAGTATTACATTTTAAAGGTTTTAAATTACACTGTTCTAAAAAGCTGGTAATAATTTACATGCTATTTCAGCAATGGTGAGGAATTCACTGGAGGGCAGTGTTCAGAGTTAATGACTTGTTCTGCAGCAGGAGGAGGCAAAGGGACACACACACACACACACACACACACACACACCAAATGAACCCCTCTTCCAAATCAGCCCACTATGTTTAAATATCTGCCATTGTTATGCCAATGAGATTTTGTTGTTATATATATATATATATATATATATATATATATATATATATATATATAAATAAAATGATGATTGAATGACCTAATTCATCAACATCCTGCTTGCATATTTGAGCCAATTAACTCTTTCAAGCACTCCAGATGCCCTGAGTTACCCATTCAAGGTTCTTTTTTCCCTCCCCAAAGGAAAAATCAAAGAACCAGCAAATGAATACAATCTAATATCCCTACAAGCTGGCTTTACAATCACCAAAACACATGCATGGACCACTGCCATGTACTGAAGAAATGGCTCTGGATCCATGCCAAAGTGTTTTCCACAGCAATCAATACTGGCCTACTGCTGCAGTCCCCCTGCCTGTCTAGTGCGTGTGTGTGCGTGCGTGCATGTATGTGTGTGTGTGTGCATGTGTGTGTGTGTGTGTGTGTGTGTGTGTGTGTGTGTGTGTGTGTGTGCCAAAGCCTTGTCAGCTACAGGGACAGAACAGAACAGAGGACAGGTCAGATGAAATCAGAGGTGATGATAATAGCACATTAATAGAACATGATCCACGAATATTCTCAGCAGTTGCAAATTCCCATTAGGAGCGCATTTTATGCTGCATGTGCAGTAAAGTAGGATATAAGATAAGAATTAGCAGTCAGGAGCCTGGAGCTGGAGTGTACAATAAGTGGGTGTTGTGAGCCAATATCTGCAACCACTGTGCAGAAATGGGGAGCCCGAAAACAGAAAATAATTTGGAGTGAGAATGTGTCACTTGTTGAGATTTGAAACACATGCGGCTGTTTAGTCAGTGGCAAGTTTGCAGAGCAGAGGCCTCAGTAGAGGGTTTGTCATAATGGGTGAGCAACCCGACACAAAGCCTGTTTAAAGAGCGAGCTGAGCTCAACCGGTGGTGGTAAACACCGCTCGTCAGGCTGAGACACAGTGAAAAATATAGCTTCCTCCACACAAGGACTTAAAAATTAACTCGGTATAAATAGATTCATAAATTAGCCCGGGATCTTTTCATCATCTAATCAGCAAACACAGCTGCCGAGTGGTTCGCATTTTTTCTGTGAATCATTATTTTTATTTCCAGGCAAAGCTGACTGGTTTTAAAGTTGGCTGCGTTTGAAAGGAATTGACCTCCAACCCTCTTGACAGAAGAAAAACAAGCACTGTAGGTCACGGGTTGGTTCCTCTTGTCACTGCACAGCACAGCAAAACACAGCAAAAAAACACTGCAAGAGAGGCTGAAAGCAAACAAATACCTGAGAAAAAAATACATTCAGGAAATTACATCATGCCTCTGAGCTAAAAGCACAAGTGAATCAGTAATCCAATTCCACTAGTTCAATAAAAGGCTGTTGTAATGTCTTGAAAAAGCTGTACTTTCTTTTTTATTTTTGGGTGTTTGGAGGCTTGAGATAAAAAGAAACCCAAAATAAAAGTTGCGAGACACTTATTTAGCTTGCTATCAGCACTAATCTGAACAAAACATATAAATAATCCACATTTGCACCAAGTTGTGACTGTTGTCATGACCTCATTTAGAGCTTAACTCGGGAAAACAGCACATTTCCTGAGAACTCAGCTATCAGGTTCATATCTGCATGAGTCACAGGAACAAATTGAACTCCTTATTCAATCAGTAAATTACAGATTTACAGTTCAGTGTTGCACCAAATAAAACTAATCTAATATGAAGTTTATAAACTCAGCTTAAACATGAGCCACCCTCCTTTGGGATGCAGTCTTTTATTTTTGTTTTTGTTTTCCCAAGTGCCGGTTTACCCCTCCTTTTAGTTTTTCAGGATTATGGATTGCATCTGTTAGTGCTTTTAGCTGACTCATGTGGTGCAGATTAGTGTTATGGGACAAAGTCAGCGAGAATCTGAATTGGCTGGGTGAAGGTCATAAACTGGACTGAAGTTGTCAGGACATTTTCCACTGTGTAATATACAGTAAGTAGTCCGATTTGCTCAGAGCAGAAGCTTTTGACAAGCCCTTTAATTGAGGTCAGCCTGCAGGCACCTACACAGCACTTAAAACATTTCATCCCCAAAATTAAATCGTTTCAGTGTTTATTCTCTGATCTGTGCAGCTTCAAAGAGGAGGATGTCTTGCAGAACTCGGCGTGCTTTAAAATCTATCATCAGTGCAGCAAAATTGCTTTGATTTCATTTTGTAATTGGACTCTGGTAACAAATGGAGATGTCTTTTTTTCTTCCTCTACTCCCCCCCTTAGTGTTGCTTTACAACATGTGGCAAATATGTGTGATTTCATTTGTGCTGGCAGCGCAGCTCCTTCTGTTATTGAATATAATATTTTCCAGATCTGCTCGATGGACTGGAATGTAAGCGCTTTGCGATGCAAATAAGTCGTTGGGAAAGGGGCGGAGCTGACATGTTGCGCAAGTGTGGTCTTCGGAATCGGGAACGCATGCCCGCGGAGTAATTGCTAAATAATTTGCGGCGCGTTAAAGCCAAAGAGAAAAGAATCCACGAGGACGGTGAGGTGTCTAAGCGGGCGGACATAAATAGCCACCTTTCTGATGAAAGGGAAATGCGATAGCTGCTCTATTACTCAAGAGGAAAGAATGCAAGTAAACCATCAGCCGAAGAGTCAAGTACAAACACGGCTTTGTCCGGTTCTATAAACAATGAAACAGCCAAAATGATCATCTCCACGCAGCCGCTAAAGCGTCAGAACGCAGAAAACAGCAATTATAGCGAGAGGGGAAGACAACGGTGCGTTCGTTTCTGGTGCAGCTCACCATTCAGCGCAACACCGGATCACAAGCGCCACATATGGCCACAGTCAATCATAACTATTGCGTATTTCTGTGCCAAACAACAGCGTAACGCAGCGCGGGGGCGGGTTTAAAGCGCAGCATAAAATGGGAGCTGACAATAATCATTGTTGAGGATGTTACTGTTCCCCAGCTAAGACGTGTCAGCGCTTTTATTTATGCATATTTAAATATTTTATTTCATGTTTAATCATCGAGCTGCATAACAAAACATCTCATCACTGATTTGAGCCAGTTTCATACAGCGCATTCATTACCCATTTCGCAATTTCCGCTCATATGTCAGTGTATTTGACCCCCCCCCCCCCCCCCTTTCTTTTTTTTTTCCTTTTTTTAACTCAAGTAAATGAAATGACAAGAACCCAAGCGCAGGATTGCTGCGGATTTCCCCCTTTTGTAACACAATTAACCCCACAGAGCGCAGCGGCAGACTTATTGCGCGCAGCTGGATAAGTGCACATTCAGCAGTTGACACAATAGACTAAAAAAAATAAAATAAAAATAAAAAGTAAAACTAGCTCAGCTCTGTCACAATGAGTTCGTGAATGCCTCTGTCACTGGAGATATCCACTCTGAATGCGCGGAGAGGAAAACGCACCAAAAATATTATTATAAATATCTGCTCTTTATTCCTACCTCTCCATGAGCCACCGTCCGTCCCTGGGGAGTATCCTCTGGTAGAAAATAAAGTTTGGAGCTTGATAAAAGTTGCTTGCTTGTTCTTTCCTCCCAGAGAAGCTGGAGCTCCGCTATGCATAAAGGATCCTCCGGTTTACATCTGACGAAGAAAAAGTCTCCAAGAGCGAGAATCCTCGCTTTCCCGTCCCGGTTGCATTTAAAGGCTTTATAGAATATATATGGTCCATGTAAGCCGCAAGACGAGCCCACCCACTGTAGGAGAGAAAGGACAGATATTAAAGAAATGAATAAAATGCGTGCACGTTTTTAGAATGGTAAACAAACATCTCAAACGTCCATGTTTCGTTATTACGCACGGCTGGCCCGATGTCAGCTTTCTACTCAAAATTAGCGCAATCTTAACTATGTTTAGGTGCTCCAACCTATCAAACAGGCGCAGAGGATTCAGCGGGTCAAAGTTTGGAGGGTTGCGGGCTCATGTTTGCAGAAAGCAGCGAACAGCGCGCGGAGAAAATAAAACAAATGAAAACAAACGTTACCTTCAGTGAGTTCGGCTCCATCTCGACGTTATGAATTGATTAAACTCAACACGCTCTCCAAACTTGCTGGCTTGAATGGATCGCCGCAGGTCCTGGAAGGGACGTATCTGTAAAGAGTTTAAAACACGAGGTTTTAGGCGTTAAAGAGAGGCTGATATTTTTGTTTTATTGTGGAATAGATGTAAAAACGTTTAGTTAGTCTGGAATTTACATTTTATGTTAAGCCTTTGTGAAAGCAACGTTTTTGGCGCATTTTGTACGAAGGAATTCAATATTTACGCAACAATTTTTTAAATTAACAATTAAATATACGCTGATTTAAAATAATAATCACGTTCGCTCGTAAATAACACTAGCAATTGTGATTTAGGGGAAGAATTTGTATATTTAAGTGTCAGAATGCATTTATTTAGTATTTTATAGCGTTTTTGAGACTATGTATCTTCCAGGACTTTCGTAAAAGACGTTCAATATGAAAGCACATTTCTCACCGTAATGACACTGAGGCGCTTACTGTGGATGCCTTCAAGAAACAATGTTACATGAAAGTTAATAGGGCTATCAAATGATTCCTCAAAAGGAAACCGTGAGGCGGTTTGGCTCAGAGCGGCGATCAGTGCGCACAGCTCCCCGCCGACCCGCACAATGACCTTAATGTCGAAAATGAAATTATAAAAATACATTTATTCATATCAGCATTTTTGGCGTTTCCATATTTTCGTAATTAAACTGAATTTGTCCGAAAGCGGACGTGACAAAGACACGCGGTGCAAGTCCGTTACGCACACAAATCACAAAAGCACTGTGATGATGACCTTGTGGAACAAACACATTTACTCATTTAAACTCTCTAAATTAAATATTCATTGTTTTAACAACTCGTCCGTTTTATTTACACCGGGCTTCTATTTGCATATTAACGACTCATCAAAGCGATGCTAAGTTGGCAATTCTCATTTGCATCTATTGTTCTCCGTTGGATAAACGCATCAGCAGCATTTTATCGGCTAACTAAAAATATTCATGTTTATTGAAAAAAAAAAGAAGAAATAAAGAAATAAAAGTACCGATTCCGTCCACAGCACGGTGCTGTTTTTCCACCCTCTGCACCCTTGCCCTGCATTTATCCACCACTCAGATCACAGAGCATGCAACAGCGACATAGGCCTACTTCTGACACAAGCTATTTCAAGTACACTATTACGCAATGCGCCTTTTTTCCTCCTGAAACGAGAGGCAGAGCATGCAGGCGCACTGATTCACAGGCCGGATGTATTTCTGCAGCCCAAACTCATGTGTTTTCATTTTCTTCTTGAATAAATGCCTGGTATTGATCTTTTAAAAAAGCAGACTGATGAGTCAGAGCTAATTATATTCTCTCTGTCCTCCATTCAGATAATATTCATGCAAAATATAGTTGAGCTAAGGCTGAATGACTTGGATATTTGAAGTGTTATTTTAGAGAATTGGGATGGAGCAAAGGCTGGACTACAGAGACTCACTGTCTTGCATAATGCAGCAGTGATGGGATTCCTGCAGTGAATCTGATTTAAACCACAACTCCTTCGGTTATCTTTCCTGATTTCTCCCACAGTCATTTCACTGCCTGAATCAATGGGGCTGCATTGTTAATGCCACCCTCCATAATGAAGTTGCTGGTTAATCAATGGCACCACTCCAGCTCTTATCAGGCAATTGTAAGTGTTTGCTTGTCAACAGGTAAAGCCCAGCAAGAGGGTAATATTAAGATGCAGGCATTGATGTGGATCAGGGGTCCTGTTGAGAAATCAGAACTGAAAACAAAAGATGAGTGGCTGCGAAATGAGAGGCTTGTAATACATGAATATTTTGGCTTATTGTCAAAATATTTTGGCTTATTGTATTTCAAATGTTGGTTTAATTTGTTATTTTTTCATTTTCTCATTGTTCCTTTCTTTAAGTGATTAGATTTAATTTTCTTTTATACGAGCCGATTTAGAAACATTGTTTTTCGCAGCCTCTATTAGCAGTGGCGCCCCCCCCAATTTTTTTTCAAGGGTGAAGGGGCACATGGGGGCTACTGAAAATTGGGGGTTGGCACCAAGCCCCCACAATGCGGGACAGAAATTCAGTCCAACGCGGAAGTGAAATAAATTGCAGTTCCACCCTCATCCACTGGGGGCTGGTGTCAGAAGCGAGCAAATCCTCTTTGACTCCCATGTTAAAAATACCAATTTCACAGCAGAAATAAACACGTTTACAGCCTGGTTCCAAAACATGTTTTTGGTTTAAATGATCTAGTTTACACTCATGACAACTCTGAGGGGGGTGAATTTTTTTTCTCGCTCTTCTGTTTAAGTATATTAAAAGTCTAAAATTCAGTATAATTAATGAGCATCAGACCCACGTGACCACAGAGCTAGCTCCGTGGAAAGGCCTCAGTAGCCTCAGTCTGAGCCTCAGCCTTGACTGAAAACTGTTCCGTGATTTTTAGTCTCTGAACTTAGTTGCAGCATTTGTGTATTCTTTTTTGGATATTATTTGTGCAATTGTTGGACAAAATGACTTGCTGCGGCATTAATTGCACTAATAGAGCATCCAAGGAGTCTCCACTTCATTTTTTTCGGTAAGTAAAATTATATTTATGTATTTATGTCGATGATTTTAGGTCACTGCCGCTCTTGCACTAGCTGAGCTTACATTTTAACATGTACTGTTTAACCATGAAATTTAAATGTAATAGGGTAAAACCCAATGCATTTAACATCACGCTGCATTTTAGAAAATGGGTTGAAATATAACATGTTGGTGGAGCTGGGTTCCAACTATTGGTGTGGTCCCCACCCCGTCCAGTTCTCCCCAGCTGCAGCTCTGCGCATCTCTGATCGCAGCGGTGCTTGTCTGCGGGCTGCCGGCTTGTGGAGCGCTCAGATGGAAACCAATGTTTTCCACCCGATTCTCCCCAGCGGCAGCTCTGCGCATCTCTGATCGCAGCGGCGCCTGTCTGCTGCGCGGCTGCTGGCTTGTGGAGCTCTTGGGAGACCTCTGTGTTCCACACGGTTTTACCCAGCGTATCTCTGACTCAGAAGCTCTGGTGTTGTGCACAGTTAACTCCGGTTGTAGCTAGGTTGCTACCTCCGTTAGCTTAGCTCCCACCTCCGCGTTAGCTTTGGGTTAGCTTCAGGTTAGCTCGTAGCTACATTAGCTTCAGTTTGACAGGTGTCGTCAATTGATCCCAGCCTTACAGCCCCACCCTCAGCTCCACCTCTCTTCCCTTTTGTGGAATTGTCTGGGCTTGACGGAACCTGTGACACAGTCAAAATGGCGGTGGTGGCCACCTCCCATTTCTCCTCAAAAACATGTTATTGGAGCCTATGCAAACCCATTGTCCATATATTTCTATGTTGATGGTTGGCACACCAAATTGATCTACAGAGTTAAGCCTGATTCGTGCTTCTCCGTCAGCTCCAAAAGGGAGAGACACGCATGCACGGATGGAGACGTTTTGCTCTCATACTTCTCTGTCTCCTGGGGAGTGTTGCAAAGCAATTCCCCACCAGGACAACAGAGGGCGTAGTGCTGTTTTGTGTTATCCTGTCTTTTATCCGGTCCAAGATAGTGTGTTTATATTGTGTTTTTTTGTATATCAGAGACTTTTTAACACAGACAAATTTGTCTCTCATCCTCCTCCACCTCTTAATGCACTCGCCACCTCTAAACCCACGTTTCCTGTCTTTTCCATCCACAAATAAAATGCTCATCTTTTCACTCCTCCAGCCACGGGGAATTAAACGTTCATGTTTTTTGAGTTTTTGTTGCGAGGTATTCTTCAAGCTGCTCCGTGTCTGCCGCTAGTTATCCTCGGCTCTCTTTATGTTTTTGAGGGTGCAATGGCGGCGCTGTAAACAACAGCGGCATCCTGACTAGTCACAAGCTTGCGTTGTCCATCTCACGGACGGATGTTTAGAAAAGAGAGCTTGACTCCGTCAGTCCTTGCGGAGCTCTCCAGTAGGCCCGCAAGGACGGATAATGGCGTTGCGTGTCTCCGCACTGACGCAGACGGAGAAGCAGAAATCAGGCTTTAGGGTTAATAATTCTGTGAGAGTTTAGCATGTAGCTTTGCATGGGAATGCTCCTTCATTTTATTTTAAAAACAAAGGTCTATGGCGCTGACACAAGTTTTCTCAATACTCAAGGAAGCTAGTACGTTCTTGTGTACTAGACAAGTATGTTTTTGGCAAGGACACCAGAAAGTCTGTTCTACAGAGTACGGGAGGACGAGGATGGCATTTGGAACAGAACCATACTCTGCTGTGTCCTGGCAACAAGCGCTGCTTCTTGCTACAGCTAAAGAGCACAACCTGGCATAAAAATAAAAGTCTAGTTTGTTCCTAAAATAACTAGATAACAATGAAAACATATTATTTGTATTATAATTGACCCACTTTACAATGGGCGGAGCAAGAACATATCCAGGAACTTTGAGCGAACTTGCCATCATGCATAGTTAGGATTGTAAGTCTTTGGGCCATCGTTGATGACGTTTTACAAGTATGCAAGTCCACAAGTTTGGACAAGCATGCATATTGAGAAATGGCCATTGTTTAGCCTGATCAGCCATGCCGATGCTTCCTTATAGGAAGAAAAGGGCGTGGTAACTCTCCCATTCAAATAACCCCACCTTGTGAGAATTCTAACCAGCCAATCAGCTCTGAGCAGTATACGTGACACATCGAGACGCTCAGTTTCTCATAAACAACGAAGATGGTGTCTGAAACGAGGTTATCTGCGGCTCTTTCCTCTGTTCTAAACGACTTGGACTTGTCTTTAAAACCACAACAAGAAGAAGCGCTAAAAGCTTTTCTTCTAAAGAAAGATGTTTTTATTGTCACCAGACGTCATTTTTGACTACAGCTAAAAAACTACAGCGTCGTGCAATACAGGCAACACTTTCCCCTTTTTACTGATTGGTTATTTTTGAGCTAGACATATTTACCTACAATTTAGGGAACACTAATATTTCAGAAGATCTCGGTTGTTTCAGTTATAGTTTCAAAATATTGTTCTAGAATTTTAAAACCATGTAAAGCTGCTGTAGCAAATC